CCCAGGCAGGTGATGGTGATCAGCATGGCCGTGCAGTTGCGGAAGATGTAGACCCCGGGGTAGAGCTCGGCGTGGCAGCGCTGCGTGCTGGCGTCGAAGATGACGCCGGCGAAGAAGGGCGCGTAGGACACCAGGGCCAGCAGCCAGATGGAGATGCTGGTCCGAGCCACCTGCGTCTCTGCCGACTTGTAGGTGCCCGTGGCTTGGCCACACGCCTTCATCCTCTGCTTCCTCCTCCTCAGGATGATGATGATCCGCAGGTAGGTGAAGAGGGGCACGAYGAAAGCCACGGCCACGTTGGGGATGGCGATGAACACGAGGTAGTTGACGCAGAAGGGGCTGTAGAGGACGGAGACGCTCCGCTCTGCATTCAGGCAGTTCCAGCCCATCAAGGGCAGGCAGCCCAGGAAGAAAGCCAGCACCCAGTTGATGAAAACCACRGCGATGGAGTGGTTCCTGGCCACCCTGAACCTCGTCCTGATGCTCTCRGCCACGGCCAGGTAGCGCTCGATGCCGATGCTCACCAGGTTGTAGATGGTGGATAAGATGGACGTGGTGTACAGGGCATACGGAGCCAGCATGTCCTCGGAGCCAAAGATGGTGATGTCGGGGTTGGTGATGAACAGCAGTGAAATCCAAAAGCCTGAGAAGCTGGTGAAGAGGTCAGASACAGCCAGGTTGCAGAAGAGGATGGAGATGGGCTTGTGCAGGTCCCTGGTGGCCAGGCGGGTGAAGATGACGGTGCAGTTGAAGATGACGGAGGCCACGTTGATGGTCAGCTGAGGGATGCCCAGAGCRAGCACCAGGTAATGGCTCCAGATGTTGGTGTAGTTGGCAGAGCAGTTTGGGAACCCGCTCATGGTGGAAAATCCTCCCTCCAGCCCCCGACGAGGTCGGCTTGGCTCATCCCATACTCCCAGAGAGCTCCCACCTCGCTCCCGGGCGCGGGACGACTCCTGACACGCAGCTCCTGCTGCCACATCATCACTGTGACAGGGGATTAAACTTTAACCAGGCTTGCTTTGGAATATTTGGGTTGCCAACTCAGGCCACTGCTGATCACTGYCGAGTTGCTAGGATAGCCCAAACTGCAGGACACGTTTGCCACACGGATGAGCTGCTGGAGGAACCTTTGCCAAGAGCAGAACCCGGCCRGGGCGTGGGGAGATGAGTGGTTTAAAATTTATGGTTTGAAATTTGTTAAGGATGTTCTGAAATGGGAGGAAGTGAATTCGACTTTAACTCACAAATGAATTGGATCATAAGGGATTAGAGAGCCAGGAAAGGGAGAGCAGAATTTTGTGGGTTTTGAAGGAGCTGAAATAAGAACAGCAATGCTGTATCACCAACCCGAACCCCAAGAGCCCAGAAAATGCCCTTTTCCCACTTAATTCTTGCATGAGAATGTAGCTAAAAACCAACAGCCATCACCACCCATGCCTTTGCTGCAGGATATTTTGTGCTTATTTAATGTGGTACATAAATAAACCAACATCAACACCATTGTAGCTTTTCTTTCTCYRTCTTTTTAAATGCAAATGATTTTTSAGAAGTGRATTGAAAATACCTGAGACTTGGAGGGAAAAAWATCTCTGAGGACACACATTCCATGCTCTCAGCAGAGGGCACTGCTGGAATAAAATACAGGGTACAGTGGGAGCAGGGAGACTTTAAACAGCCAAGAATCCCAGGTGAGCAGCACAATTATCCAGGTACAGCCACGGTTTTGATTCTGATTTAATTCATATTTTATTTTTACCTTAACAAAGGATTCATCTTCGTTGGTCACAGTTTTCTACCCTGATCTCACCAAAGCAGCTCAGCTGAATTTGTGGGGTGACATCTGATGTTGCAGCAGCATCAACTGGGAATCTCTGATGGTTCTGCCAAATTTAAAATGTAAGAAATTTTTTAAAAAAGTTGATCTTAAAAAGGAAAATTCTAGGACTCTTTTTTTTGATTTTTTTTCCTGTTGAGGTGTATGAAAGTACATTCAGTTTATTGTGCCACTAAGTACATTCAGTTTATTGTGCCACTAGCACACAAAATTTTTGTGTACTAGGAATATTTTATAATTAATTATTACACTTTTTAAGCAGAAATATTACACCTAATACAATTCTAAGTAAGAATTAAGTATTTCAGATGGTCCCAAGAAAATGATAACACGGAAATAAGGGCTGAGAATTGATTAATGAAGCYTGGGGGGGTATTACCATCCCATAAAAGATCCCCCTCGCAGTGTCCCAGATAAAACACCCTCTGTAACCCCAATTGGGGCAGCCCTGGCAGCCACACCTCTGGTGTGAGGTTGCTGCTGAACAAGGGCCCCACTATTTGTGTCACCTCTCAGTGCCAGCCCAGCAAATCCTTTCACTCACAGCCAAAATGCCAGCACAGCCCAGGTGGGCACAGGACACCCGTGAGGAACAGAACATCCACAAAGCAAAAAACGCCTCTGAAAATATCCCAGCTGCTAAAAATAAATTATCTGTGAATTTGGGCTCCGCGGTGTTCCAGACACTCCTGAAAACGCTGCTTGAAATTGCTCTGATTTGAAAATTTGGTGCTCGAGTACAAAACGCTAAACGATGAGAGATCAGAATGTAATTGAAGTAATATCAAGTGGTGTAAATAGCTCTCCACAAAAGATTTGTAATCTGATTTCCCTAAGAAAATTGCATAAAAATGAGCATTATGTTGCTGGATTAAGGGAGACAATAGTGTGGAAACTGCTTTTTTTGAGTGGGCTTTGATATACAGAAACCCCAGATTTGCATATTCCAACCCTCTGTGATGCAGCYGGAGCTCCCAAAATCAGTTGGAAAATACTTTAAATTTAAAGCCCAACCTCTGCATGAAAAAATCTCAATTTTCTTACTCCCATATTCCMGGAACTGTGCAGGTTCCTGGTACTCACCCTCACTATACACTTGTGAGGCAATTGTTATCTGCATCCTATTAATGGGAAAAAGAACAATCCCATTGTTTGCTTTAGATGACACCAAATTCCAGGGAACTCAATCTAATCTCCAGAATCTCAGGCTGACACCTTAAACACTGACTGTACCTTGCTGTGGGCAGCCTTTGATTTATATTTATCTTGATTTCACCTTCTGCAATAATTTTTTTTTTTCTGAGTTCTGTGATTGTTTTTCTTTCAGCTCTGCGATTGTTTTTACGTTTCTTTATCTGAATGCCCGAATTGTTTGGATGTGTGTGTAAGAAATGGCCTCATTTTGTGGAATTATCCGATGATTGTGCCTGTGGAGAAGACAATAATCACTGCCCATGCTGAGKAGACTGAGAAAGAGGCACCAGAGGCTTCAGGCTGGATTTTAAATCATTGTTTGAGTGGAAAATCCAAGTTTATCCATCTGAACTCACAACCCCAGAACTGCCCCCAGCTGCCCCAAGGGTTCAGAATGAGAGATTCCAGCTGGGACACTCCAGAGCTGATTCCAAAGCAGGGAATTCACCCCAGCTCTGCACAGGAATCCTTGGACACCTCACAGCAGCCCCCGTGTGCTGACAGCTCACTGGGAAACTGGAATTGTGCCTGAAACTCCGGGAGGAAAAGCAGCATCCTTGGGATGGAAATAGGAATCCCACGGTGTGAGCTGCAGGGTGTTTGGTGTCACTGGAAAAGTGCTGTGCACACAGAAAAACCCAGGCACTGAGAGGAGGAGGAGGAGGAGGAGGAGGAGGAGGAAGGATTTCCCTCCTGTTTTCTGTCCTGTCACCTTCTCCCCAAACTCTCAATTCCTTCTCCCATTCCTGACACCAAACCTTGGGAAATGGGCTGGTCCTGCTTTCTCTCTGCACTCAGCTCTGCATTGTCACCACGCTGCAAACGCCAAACCTGGGCCAAAAAACGTCAATGCAGCTCAGCAGATTTATTTTGTGAATCCCAGTTTTGCTGCCATGACCTTCACAAAGCTGTGGGATCAGAATTTCCCCCCTGCTCAGCCTCTCAACGAGGCATGCAAGGAGAAACAGTCAGGAAAAGGGAGTAATACAAATAAGGAGCCTATTTATCCAATTTACGTTTCAATTTATGCAGATTAAAGTCTTCCTTTCTGGAGAGGAAGACACAAATGGGATGTATGATCTCCTTCCAAGATTTTTCGGAGCTGTTTGGAAAACAGAGAGTTCTGCTCCTCCCTCCCCCAGCTGCTCTCTTGGAGGAATTTTTGCCTCCCAGGTTTGGAGTTGTCCCTTTGGAGAATCTGTGCTGTCAGAAGGGAGACAAACATGGACAAACCTGCAGCCAGGTGTGGCAAAGAAAGCTTTTGCTGATCAWTTGGATGGGAGAAGGCAGAACACAGCTCATCCCTGCTGTTCCATGGAATGATCTCGTGCTGGAACGACATTCCATGGAACAGCAGACTCAGGAGAATCAGAGCCAGCCCACGTTCTCTCGTGTGAGATGAAGCTTTAATGTTTCTGCTTCACCCAGAGCTCTGAAATTGCAGATTTCTGGTTGGGTGGTGTGGGAACTCTGATGAATAAAATGACAGCATGAACTCCATGAAGAACACTCTGTGTTTTCTCACCCAGCAGGGTGGGAAACCTGCTGAGAAACCCAACCCCCCACTCGCTGATCATGGAACCCATCTGTGGTTTCAATCTTTTGGAAGTGTTTCCCTCTCCTTTTTCAGAGGCAATTCCTCATCTCTGACCAGGACTGGGAATCAAACCCATCTCACCCTCCCAACCTTTGCTGCTGTGGCTCTCAAGTCCACAAAACAAGTGCAGTTTTCCCTGGTTTTGATATTCCCACCTGTCCATCTCTATCCTGTAGCTGTGGACACACTGCAATCATCCARCCAGGGAAAACCAGCCTGGAATTCATCCATGTACTCTCACCCCCTGCTTAACTTTGTCCTTAACTTGATCCTCTGACCAAGATCCTCTTGGGGTTCAAYGTCCAAAATCCTTTATGCAAAATGCACCCAAGTTCTTGAGGGCATCTTGAACTTTGGAACAGTTTTGGTTTTGGAAGGAATCAGAATTATCCTGAGGTGCAACGATGTCATTAAGAAGTGATGACCAAGCACCTATCAGGTGAGTTTCTTTAGAAAAAAAAATGAGATGAAATGATGCCTGCCCTGCTTATTTAGATTACAGGCTTTATGAGGAAAGGGAATGTCTTTCCCTGAGCGTGCCTTCACTTTTGAGCACAGATAAAGGCTTAATTACCGTGATTGCAGTGCAGTTTATTACCACCAAATCTTCCACAGGCTGGAAGATTTAGAAACWAAAAGGAAATAAATCAAGAATCCTGATTTTCAAGACCAAAATTTCCAAGCTTCAGATTTTCAGTCTTGAGCAGAGGGTTTCCAGCAGGCTTTTAGCTTTCAGAGAACTAAACAATAAAAATTTACAGCCATAAAACAGGGGAAAAAAAAAATCCAAAGCTGCGGGTTCAGCTCTCCAGTGAGGAGCATCCCAAGGAAAGAGCAGAGCCCAGGAGGGAATTTTCTGCTGGATGCCCTTGGAGGCTGCCAGCCCCTGGCACCGCCCTGCTGTCCCTACGTGCTCAAAATTCACCTGGCCCCGCACTCTCGGAAGGGAAAAAATGCCACGAATTCCCTCATTGTTCTTCCTTCCCCCTGCATAAGTATTTACCTCATCACCATGTRCGAGGCAAATCGGCGTCTGTGCAGCCCGGAGCTGCCGTGCAGCATGGAAAAACACTCCCCAGCAGCTCCTCATTGTCGGAATGTTATTTATAGTCCCTTTTTTTTATGAATAGAGGAGCTGCTCTGAGTCAGCTGTGCGGGTGTGACTGCAGCTCTGAGCCCCCTGCGACCCCTCTGGGAGAGCAGCAGGGCCTGGGCAAGGGAAGRAGAGCTTTTTTGGCTCCTCTGGGCTGAATTCAGCCTGTGCTGGATGATTCTGCAAGCTCAGATCAGCTGCAAGAACCTCCCTTCCCTCTGTCCATCCCTCACAGAGCGCTGGTTCTGGCATCCTGCTCCTCTTCCACCCAACCCAGCACCGGGGTTGTACCCCCACAGATATTTGGGGAAGAAGTTGTTTCACTCCCTCATTTGTATCAAAATCCACTCCCAAAAATCCCAAAGATGATCCCGTGTCAATAATAAAGCTGCGTCACTTTTCTTTGTTGAACTTAAAGTCGTGTTTCATTCCGACCATGAAATTAAAAAATTTAGATAGAAAAACAAAGGGGA